CAACCTGGAGCTGACAACCCCGTAGGCTTTCTCTAATGGTTTTGCACATCCACAGGAGGAAATGGCTTTCTGCTGATTCCGCAGATTATTTCATACTCACCACACCCCAGAAAAGGAGGGTTTTTCAGGGCGAGGATTTTACAGGGCCATAGAGCCAGAAGAGGCCTTGCTGGGCATCTAGTACTACCTGCGGCCGAAGGCAGGGTATCTGTCGCTAGAGCGTCTGTAATGTATTCAATAAGCTGCCATTGAATGCATAATGTGTGATGAAAACATCTAATTGACATGTCATGTTAAGCTTCGTCCTGGGCTAGGATCCAAATCCATCCAATCGCTTTGATAGCCCAGGAAGAACCAACCAATCACTTGTCAGCAAGCTCCCAGAGCGGGAACGTCCGTGATTGGTCCTTATGCATACAACCTTATTGGTTGGTAATTGTACAGTAGGCGTGGCTACATTAGCCTGGAGAGTTTAAAAGCAGGCCAGCTGCAGTGTAAAAGCTGTTCTGGCTATCAGATGTTGATCCGTGTTGGAGTTGTGTTCGAGTTGACGAATAAAGCTGAATCTTTGCTGAATCACTCTCCGACGACTTTGTTAAGCGAGCGACTTAACAGCGTCCTTGGCAGATGGCTGGAGGCCAGTCTCTGCTCGAAGGCCGCTGGCAAAGAAGGAGAGACCTTCAGACCTTGAGCTCACTGGTTCCACTGCTGAGCTGCACTCACCGTCAGGAAGTCTCCCTCCTGGAACTTAAGCCCCCTGGCTCCATTCTCCTCCTTTGGCGTAGCAGAAAACAAGTCCTTGCCCTCTCCCACAGGGCATAAGAACATAAGAACATAAGAGATGCCAATGTTGGATCAGGCCAAAGGCCCATCCAGTCCAACACTCTGTCTGTCACACAGTGGCCAGAAACACCAGGTGCCATCAGGAGGTCCAGCAGTGGGGCCAGGACACTAGAAGCCCTCCCAGTGTTGCCCCCCCCAAGCACCAGGAAGACAGAGCATCACTTGCCCCAGACAGAGAGTTCCTATCTATACCTAGTGGCTAAGAGCCACTGATGGACCTCTGCTCCGTATGCTTATCTAATTCGCTCTTATAAGAACATAAGCGAAGCCAATGTTAGATCAGGCCAAAGGCCCATCCACTCCAACACTTTGTGTCACACAGTGGCTAGAAATACCAGGTGCCATCAGGAGGTCCACCAGTGGGGCCAGGACATTAGAAGGCATGATTGTGAGGCAAGAGGGCAGGAGATTTAACAGGGGTTTTAGATCACGTACCTACCCGTCCGTCCGCCCGTCCGTCTGTCTGTCTGTCTGTCTACCATGTCCTGGACGGCCCAGGGTAGCCTGATCTCGTCAGATCTTGGAAGCTAAGCAGGACTCCTGTTCATCTGCCCTGACCTGGATGGCCCAGGATAGCCTGATCTCATCCGATCTCGGAAGCTAAGCAGGGTCGGCCCTGGTTAGGACTTGGATGGGAGACCACCAAGGAAGCCCGGGGTTGCTGTGCCGAGGCAGGCCATGGCCACTGTGGCCCCCCAAGCACCCAGATAGGGGACATGCAACCCTGTTAATTCTCCCGGACTTCTCAGGAGCTTTCGATACCTTCAGTCGCAGTGTCCTTCTGGACTGCCTTTCAGATCTGGCGCTGGGAAGTAGTTTTGTGATGGCTTCAGGCTCCTACCTGCAAGGTTGGTTTCAGAAGGTGAGAACTGCCGCAGCAATCTAATCTAGATTGAGCCAGTTTGGTGTAGTGGTTAAGTGTGCGGACTCTAATCTGGGAGAACCGGGTTTGATTCCCCACTCCTCCACTTGCGCCTGCTGATGTGACCTTGGGTCAGTCACAAGCTCTGGCACAGCTGTCCTTGAAAAAGAGCAGTTTGTGTCAGAGTTCTCTCAGCCCCACCCACCTCCCAGGGTGTCTGTTGTGGGGAGGGGAAGGGAAAGGAGTTTGTCAGCCACTCTGAGACTCCAAGTGAAGGGCGGGGTATAAATCCAATCTCTTCTCTTCTTCTCTTCTGGCATGCACTACGGCGGTCAGATCTTTTCTGCCCAAGGTAGGCCATAGCTGGCTAACCAGTTGAAGCTGTGAAAAACGGACCCTGGACTCTGGCTCCACCTAGCAATGGGCTCAGGTCCAGCAGCCACCCCAAATGATGTGCCTGCTCCTTCTCAGGGAATGGAACCCCATTCCACAACAGGAGACACCTTCAAACCTGAGTCAGTCCTACCGCTCACTAGCAGAGCTTCTGTCTTGTCGGGAGTAAGCTTCAGTTTGTTAGCCTGCATCCATGCCAGAAGAGCTTACAGCAGGGGTCATTTCGTGGAAAAAGAGGTGCAGGAGCTCATTAGCAGAACTCATTAGCAGAATTTATTTGCATATGCCACACCCCCTGACATCACCGGATGTGTGTCAGAAGGCAACACCCACCGCTCAGGCTCCACTGGACTGTTTTGCATTGCTAGCTATTGGGGGGGAAGGAATGTCCAGATCTGTCCTCGCAGAGGAGGGAGAGCTGGTACCTGAATGAAACTTGGCCTTAAAGGTGCCACTGGACTGTTTTGTATTGCTAGCTATGGGGGGGGGGGAATGTGCAGATCTGTCCTCCCAGAGGAGGGAGAGCTGGTACCTGAATAAAACTTGGTCTTAAAGGTGCCACTGGACTGTTTTGGATTGCTAGCTATGGGGGGGGGGGAATGTGCAGATCTGTCCTCACAGAGGAGGGGGAGCTGGTACCTGAATAGGTCTTAAAGGTGCCACTGGACTGTTTTGGATTGCTATTGGGGGGGGGGCTCTGCAACTTACCTGGCTGCCTCTTGCTCTGACTGAGGGCTGCTGGGAGCGGGGGGCGGGGCTTGTTGCATGTGCCCGCCCTCTGGGCTCTTTATTGCCGGAGCTCCGCTCCTGTGCGCTCCTGCAGGAAATGACCCCTGGCTTCCAGGCACCAGTTCAGGGAATGGAAAATGTCCCAAGGAAGAGCAGGTATTAGGGCTACCAGCCTCCAGTTGGGGCCTAGAGATCTTCCAGAATTACAATTGAACCCCCGATGACAGAGATCAGTTCCCCTGGAGGAAATGGCTACTTTGGAGGGTGGACTCTATGGCATTAGAAGAGTTTGTTTTTTATACCCTGCTTTTCTCTACCCGGAGTCCCAAAGTGGCTTATGATCTCCTTCCCTCCTCTCCCCACAGCAGGCACCTTGTGAGGCAGGTGAGGCTGAGAGAATTTGGAGAGAACCGTGACTGGCCCAAGGTCACCTAGCAGGCTTCATATGGAGGAGGAGTGGGGAATGGAATCTGGCTCTCCAGATTAGAGTCCGCTACTCTTAACCACTCTTAACCACTCTTAACCACTCCACCCCTCTGAGGTCCCTCCCCAAACTCCGTATGTTTCCCTCAAAACTTTCTCCCCCTTGGCTTTGCACTTGTCGGCCTCTGCGTATCCACATCATTGTGTGGGACACTGCAAACTGTTGGTAGTGTGAAGCAAGAAATGCCCCTGTGCATTGGAATAAAGATTTGGAACCCTGCAGTCTCTGTAAGAGAAACTGTTTGGTGTAGTGGTTAGGAGTGCGGACTGTAATCTGGGAGAACCGGGTTTGATTCCCCACTCCTTTACATGCAGCTGCTGGTGCGTCCTTGGGTCAGTCACAAGTTCTCTCAGCGCCGTTCTCTCAAGAGCAGTACTCAAAAGAGCTCTGTCAGCCCCACCTACCTCACAGGGTGTCTGTTGTGGGGAGGGGAAGGGAAAGGAAAAGGAGATTGTAAGCCACTCTGAGACTCCTTTGGGTAGTGAAGGTCAGGGTATAAATCCAATCTCCTCCTCCTCCTCCTTGAAACTCCAAGTGAAGGGTGTAGTATAAATCGCTCCTCCTCCTCCTCCTCCTCCTCCTCCTCTTCTTCTTCTTTCCTGAATCAGGAATGGGGATAACCTTTGGTGGGGGTAGTTCCTGTGAGAAAGCGGGTGCTGTTTCAGAACCCCCGTAAAGGGTTCTGGCGGAATGAGACCTTTCTCCCTGCTATTCTTGCTGGACGCGGAGAGTGTTCGGGAACCCGAAGTGCATCCGATACCTCTTGCTTAACTTGCATTCCAGATTTACAAATACTTGTTTACTCTGGAATACAGCTAAACCACATGCTTAACCAGGCCTCAGCAACAGTGAGTCCATTATGTCTCCATCGCGAGCACCGCCTTCCCATCCCACCTGGGATATATATGGCTTTTGCCACCTGCCCGATTCCAGAGCCAGGGGAAGACGAGAGAAAGGGGGTTACGAGCCGTTCCCGGCACTCCTCTTAGCCAATCAAGAATTAATTAGAGCCAGGGCAATCTTCTCCATTATTAATTAGGTAATCCTCAGAAAGGTTTTCGTGGGTGTGGTGAACACCCTCTGCTGGGTACTCCTTGGATAACCTTTGTTTTTGTGTTTGTGTGTGTCTTTTATTACTGATCGATTGTGCTTTGCTTAAAAAATTCCTGCTATCGCTATTGAATCTTTTCATTGTCTGGAACGGATGCAGAGGAGAGCAACGAGGATGATCGGGGGCCTGGAGACCAAGCCCTGTGAGGAAAGGCTGAGGGACTTGGGAATGGTCAGTCCGGAGAAGAGGAGGTGGAGGGGGGACAGGATGGCTCCCTTGAAGTATTTGGAGGGCTGTCACTCGGAGGAGGGCAGGGAGCTGTTCCTGTGGGCAGCAGAGGAGAGGACTCAAATAATGGGTTGAAATTAAAGGCAGGAAGGGACCGGCTGGATATTAGGGAAACCTTTTTGACAGACAGAGTTGTGCCACAGTGGAATCAGCCGCCTGGGGAGGTGGTGAGCTCCCCTTCCCTGGTAGTTTTTAAGCAGCGGCTGGACAAACACTTGTCAGGGATGCTGTAGGCTGATCTTGCTTTGAGCAGGGGGTTGGACTAGATGGCCTCTATGGCCCCTTCCAACTCTGTATGATTCTATGAAAATCTCCCTGTTCGATTCCAGCAGCCCTAACCCCAAAGCAAGATGCTCACGGTCTGGTGCGTCGCCGTCTTCTGCTGTTTGCTGACCCCCTCGCAAAGCCAGCTGCCGACAGATGCCGTCATCAGGGTCAATAAAGGTGTCTTACACAATGGTAAGTCGAGTCGCGCGATGGGGTCCGTGCGATCAGCTCCTGACACAAGGAGCCAAGCAGGTGTATGGTCACAGATTTCAGGACAAAGGGAAACAGTTCTTCCCACAGGACAAGGTTTGAGTCCAGTGGCACCTTTGAGACGAACAAGATTTCCTTAACTTGAGGGACTCTGTGCCACAGGGTGTAAGGAGAGCCACTACACCAAACTGGCTTAGTTTTGGGAATGGCACACTGGATGGAGTAGACCTCTGCTTTGATCCAGGAGGCGGCTTCTCTTTTTGCCCCTTGCATTGTCTACTCTAGGGCAACGTGTGATGTGAAGTGCCCGAGTCCTACCGAAGCCCCAGATACAAGGAGGGAGCAGGGCAATGTAGAGAGCCAGTTTGGTGTAGTGGTTAAGCGCGCGGACTCTAATCTGGGAGAACCGGGTTTGATTCCCCACGCCTCCACATGCAGCTGCTGGCGTCACCTTGGGTCAGTCACAAGTTCTCTCAGAGCTGTTCTCTCAAGAGCAGTCCTCGAAAGAGCTCTCTCCGCCCCACCTCCCTCACAGGGTGTCTGTTGTGGGGAGGGGAAGGAGATTGGAAGCCGCTCTGAGACTCCTTTGGGTATAAATTCAATCTCTTCTTCTCTTCTCAGTTTGGTGTCGTGGTTAAGTGTGCAGACTCTAAGCTGGGAGAACTGGGTTTGATTCCCCACTCCTCCACTTGCACCTGGCAGGATGACCTTGGGCAAGCCGTAGTTTTGTCAGAGCCGTTCTCTCAGGAGCAGTTTCTGTCAGCGCTCTCTCAGCCCCACCTCCCTCACAGGGTGTCTGTTGTGGGGAGGGGAAGGGAAAGGAGATTGGAAGCCGCTCTGAGACTCCTTCAGGTAGTGAAGGACGGGCTGTAAATCCAGTCTCTTCTCTTCTTCTTCGTGCCTTGCATTGAGGAAAGGCTTGCATGACAAAGAGATGAAGTGTGTACCCACAAGCTCAGCCCGTTGTCTCTCTTCTACTCTCAGCTGTGGAGGTCATGTTCTCCATGCGTTCTCTCTGGAAACAGCTCCCGTAGAAACTTGGCTGTGAAACCACCTTCTGCCCCTTCAGTGGACACTCACCTTGTGGTCTTTTTTTTTTTTTTTGCAGCGGTCTCCAACTCAATGGCACAAAGCAATGCCCTCCAAGGCGCAATGCGAGACTTGCCCATTGGCAACGGAGGTGGGGGCGACGGTGGCGGTCTGCTGGGAGGCCTCCTTGGTGGTGGAGGCGGTGGCGGAGGCCTACTTGGGGGTATTACCGGTGGCCTGCTAGGGGGAGGAGGTGGTGGTGGTGGAGGACTTCTCGGCGGGGTCACTGGAGGCCTGCTTGGTGGCGGCGGAGGCGGCGGAGGACTTCTCGGCGGAGGCCTGCTTGGAGGAGGTCCTGCAGGGGGCAATGAAGCTTACGGTGGTCGCCCAGCCTACGTGGTCGGTGGTGGACAGCTTGGCTATGGTGCTGCTGAATTCCGTGGCGAAGGTGGAGGTCCCGGCGCTGGAGGCCTGCTGGGGCGCGGAGGCCTGCTGGGTGACGGAGGCCTGCTTGGCACTGCAGGTATTCTTGGCGGTGGCGGCGGTCTCCTTGGCAACGGAGGCCTGCTGGGCAACGGAGGCCTACTCGGTGGAGGCGGCGTCCTCGGCATCCTCGGGGAAGGAGGCTTGCTCAGCACGGTCCAGGGCCTCACAGGGTAAGGAATGGTTTGAGACTCGTGAGATGAATGGGCAGAATGCATCCGGATGACCCTAGCTTTCCAGATAGGGTTGCCAACTCGACTTACCCCTCGGAGCGGGGGAGCCTTGCCGGCGTCCGGGAGGTCTTCAGGGATGCGCGCGCGCCGGCAGCACGTCACTGGTTTTCCCCCCGACGAGCTCAGCCACGCCCCTAACATCAGTGTGGCTGCGTCACCTCTGGTGACGCAGCTTCGGGGGCGAGGTTCCCCCCGGGGCCCAATTCCGCCGTGGCGAAAATTGGGCCTCCGAAGCGGGGGATTCCCCGCCCCCCGGGCCCATTTGGCAACCCTATTTGCAGACTCGATAACAGGAGGAGTCCTGGGTGGGTAGGGTTGCCAACTACAGTTTTGGAAAGGCCAAAGATGTGGGGTGGTGCCTGGGAAGGGTTGCCAGCTCCAGGTCAGGAAATACCTGGTGGGCGGGGTTTGAGGAGGAGAGGGCCCGCAGCAGGGTACAGTGCCATAGAGTCCCCCTTCGAAAGCGGCCATTTCCTCCAGGGGAACTCATTTCTGTTGCATTCTTCTTCTGACAAGAGACTCCTCTATTGTTCTTCTAGAATTTTATATATGAGTTTTAACTGGTTTTAAAATGTATAAATGGTACTGATAATTTATGCCAGTAAAGGCTGACTTGACTCCTCTATTTTGTTGTGTTGTGCTGTTGTGAGACTCCTCTATATCCTCAAAGTCTGCAAACAAGGCAGAGGATGTCCCATAGCACAAAGAAACTGAAAAATGGAACCTGATTTCCACAATAATCTAGGCACAGCACAGATTCCATTTGAGACATGAGCTGATTATTGTGGAAATCAGGTTCCATTTTTCAGCCATATAACTGAGGAAGAATGCTTTGAAACGTCTGGCATACATAGGAAGGACGTTTTTCAGCTGCAGAGGTTTCTTTGTGCTGTGGGAAATCCTCTGCCTTGTTTGTGGATTTTGAGGACTTTTGGACACTAATATACTGAAAGGATACAGAGGAGTCTCTTGTCGGATTTTTTCCCCCCGTTATTGAATTGTCATACCTCTTCTCGTCAATTTTTTGTATTGCAACTTGTGTTTTTCAATTGTGACCACCAATTCTACTTTATTAATTGATTCACTGTACTTATGTTGCAACAGACTGATGTCTACTGGTAATTTGTGAAAATGTGTGAATTTTTTGATGGCCTACCCTTGCATTTTGTATTTCTGTATAATCAGGGCTCTTTTTTTGTAGAAAAAGCCCTGCAGGAACTCATTAGCCTATCAGGCCACACCCCTGACAGCACAGCTCATTTGCATATTAGGCCACACCCCCATGTTACCAGACATGTGGTTATCCAGCCACACCCACCTTTTGCTTCTTCTTCTCTTTACCTTGTTTGTTGTCAAAACCCAGGGCTTTTTGCATGTTAGGCCACACACCCCTAATTGTAGCCAATCCAAATGGGTTTCTGCTGTTGGGTGTGGCCTATTATGCTAATGAGTTCCTGCTGGGTGTGGCCAACTTGGGAGCCAGCCGGAACTCCGTTCCTGTGCGTTCCGCCCCCAAAATAGCCCTGCTGTATATCATATACACTTGGGGTCCCTATTGTTTGACCAACTGGAGGATGGCAACCCCATTTGTCGCTGATGAAGGGAGCTTTGATTCCTGAAAGCTTGTACCGCCCCTTCCCAGATCTTGTTGGTCTCTAAGATGCTGCTGGATTGGAGTGTTCCCTCTAAGCTGAATGAGTGTGAGCTAGCTCACAGTTTTTTCGCCTCCGGCTCACACACATTTTTCTCTTAGCTCAGAAAGGATGGCTCCTGATCAAACTAATTTATGCAGTAGCCAAATCGCTCGCTCACAACTTTAACGCTCTTAGCCCACAAAGTAGAATTTTTGCTCACAAGACTCCACCGCTTAGAGGGAGCATCGATGGTGACCAAGAAACGACATACATCGCAGCTGAGGCCAGCTGCCAGTTTTGACAGTTGTTGAGGTAGTCATTGAAACCGGGTCTCTCCCCTCCCCTAGTTTTTTTTTTTAATCATGGTAGCCACGAGTTCTTGTAAATCACAAGAAGGGACAGACCTCTCCGCATGACACCTCCCTCCCCTAATCTGTTTCCTGCAGGTTAAGAATTGTGGAGCTGACCCTTCCCAGAATCAATCTGAGGCTTTTACCCGGGATTGGGGTCCACCTGGATTTGTACACCAAGGTGGCACTCAACGGAAAAAGGTAAGAAGACAACTTGACCCTTCCCGGCCGCACAAACCCGCAGGCGGGGGTCAACTTCCCCTCCCCAAATCTTTCTCCAGTCCCTGGGGCCAGAGGTCTACATGCACCAAAGGGCTGGTCTTTTATGATGGCAGGGTGAGGTGGGGGGAATATAAGTTCGGTAAGCTGACCAGAATTTCGGTCTTGTTCGACTGCATTCAAGTGGCCTCCATTTTCCAGAGCAGAACAGGTCTCCAATCTGGGCTCCGTTTCAGACACAAAGGTGGCATCCGTGTGTGGCTCGATACTGCGCTACAGCAAGTGTCCCCGACTTGGCGCCCAAGTGTTTTTTTTTTAGGAAGTGGGTGGAGCCAGGTAGGGCTTTTGCCCAGCAAGCATTCTGATTGGCTATTGGAGATTTGATTGGCTGTTCAGATTTTTTTTGTTAATGTTGCTTTGGTGGCAGCTGCCACCCCAGCATGAGGATCTTCACCGTGTGACTGAATGTAAGCTGTGGCAGCCATTTTGTGGCTGGCACCACCTCTTGTTCCTTCCTTCCTTCCTTCCTTCCTTCCTTCCTTCCTTCCTTCCTTCCTTCCTTCCTTCCTTCCTTCCTTCCTTCCTTCC